ATATGTCCACAGACATACCGCTGTGTGTGTATCCCCTTAAAGTTTGGTAATGAGCAGATTACCTAACACCATTTAGAATAATCGGAATATGTGTGTTATATAGGTTACTATCAGTCGAAACTTACCTTTTTAATTTGTTTTTTTTTTAGGTTCAACTCTATATTATGTTAACATATAATATTACACTTAACGTTTTAGAAAATAAGAAAGAATTGTTTGTGACATATCTATGAAAATTAAAATCAAATTACGTGTAATCTATTTACATGTATATCTTCCCGTTTTCTTCTATAACCTAATCTAGGTGTAACGAAGGTGTCTTGAGTGACTTTTATAACCTGATATTGACAAAGCGAAGTATCCCTGTATGACTTGTATAATATTGTATAACATACCTTTGTAAAACGACGTACCCCTGTGTGACTTGTTGAGTCTTATATTTGTAAAACGACGTATCCCTGTATGACTTATATAATCTGACCTTGGTAATACGACATATCCCTGTATGACTTATATAATCTGACCTTGGTAATACGACATATCTCTGTGTGACTTATATAATCTGACCTTGGTAATACGACATATCTCTGTGTGACTTATATCATCTGACCTTGGTAATACGACATATCCCTGTACGACTTATATAATCTGACCTTGGTAATACGACATATCTCTGTGTGACTTATATAATCCGACCTTGGTAAAATGGCGTATACTTGTATAATCTGACCTTGGTAATACGACGTATCTCTGTGTGACTTATATAATCTGACCTTGGTAATACGACGTATCTCTGTACGATTTATATAATCCGACCTTGATAACATGGCGTATCTCTGTACGCCATTTTGGTACATTTAGAAATAAAAGGTATTTTTTAAATTAATAGTGAAATTAGACATGTGCTTCATAGACAAGATTTGGGAAAAGCAAGTAGCCCTCCCAGCCTCACCTATAAGTGTCTCGTACAACATTGAGAAATATTTTGGTTTTAAATTCTGTCGGTCGACATAATCTTCCCTCTTCCCAGTTAAGACACGTCTACAGTTTTCCCCCATGTTTAACCAAGTTCTTGTACAGTTTAAGGTATTGTGTATTGCACTAGAGTTTGCGAAGCCGTTTCATAACTGAAGTTATATATTTCAACGAGCTTTTATCCAGTTATAATCATATTGTCATGCGCAGTAAAGACGCTTGCCTTTTATGCTAGAACAAACCACAATATTAATATGATGGCGAGGAAAAAAAAAACAATCTGTAACGAACCTTATTTCTTCATTCAAATATTGTTCGATATAAATTTTACTGAAAAATTACTTTCACCTGTCACTATTGTTTTCTTTCCATTTGATATATGGATTTTTTTGTTCTACTTTTAGATGACACTGTTGTAGTTGTGGTTGATTTATAAGATCTATTATTACTCATAGTAAATAACTAAATAATACAAGAAGTGGGAGTAAATTCACCAGAACTTTTAAAGTTTACTCCCCAGACGTCTACAAGAATGTGTCAACTAAGAGCTCACTGTTTGCTGGATGATATTAAAATTTACTTTTTTTTTCACACAAATGCTATAGGTCAATATATGCTACGTCTGGTGCCTTTTATCTCTTTGTTTATATTCCCTAGAACTAGGCGCGAAGCTTGAGAATCGATAATTAAAAAAGAACTACACAATAGCATTCTCTTCTAAATCTATACCTACTGAGGCTTGCGAAGGGCGTGACCTAGTGACTTACATGCCCTGACTGTCAATCCGGAGATACACGATTCGTATTTCGTTATCATAGAAACTCGCTTAGCAATTTATGGTCGTAAAAGTTAACGATCAAATCTTAGTAGTTGGTAGTGAGTGGAACAGTGGTAAGTCTTCGGATTTACAGTGCTAAAATCAGGGGTTCGATTCAGTGTTCCCTCTAAGCTGCGCGGCTGCGTGGCCCCACAACAACCAGTAAAGTGCCGTGTAATTAATTATCCCAGCCGCGCACAACTTCAGTAATGGTGAGAAGTCTCAAACACGTTCATGACTTTAATTAATGACCCTGGCAGTCGATAGACCTAAAACCCAAATAATCTACTGGTAGCATTGCAAAACGGCCTAATGATTCAATAGGGATTTATTGTCTAAAAATTCCACCACCACTATTAAAAAAAAAAACTGGTAGCGAACATCCGCACATTGCATTGATACTGGTGTACATGAAAAAATTCATTCTACACATGGATTGAAAACATTAGAGGGAACATTAGTTCGATTCCCCTCGATGGGCACAGCAGATAGCCCGATGGGGCTTTGCTATAAGAAAACATACACATACACACAAGCACACTAGTTTGTAAGTTTAAAATTAGATATGCTAAGTACTTCGAGGTCATCTACAAGGGAGAATCAATCTAAGAGCCAACGCCCCCAGTGGCACAGCGGCGTGTCTGCAGACTTACAACGCTAGAATCCGGGTTTCGATACCCGTGGTGGGCAGAGCACAGACAGCCCATTGTGTAGCTTTGTGCTTAATTATAAACAAACTAAGAGCCAACAGTTCTGCGAGAAACAAAAATCTAAATAAACATATAAACTATCGGGGTTCCAATAAGTCAAAGTTTCACTTTTTTACATCTCTTTAGGCTCAAAGAAGTAAAAGTTGTCAATCCCGTCTAAATCGTCATCTGTTAAGACTTAAGAAGTCAACGTTCTCAGAACTCAGTGTTGAGTTTGTCTAGTTTTTTGTCTAAAAGAGATTTAAGTTACTATAACCGTTAAACAGCAAACCCGGGGATTATTATCCAATCCCAATGTTCTTTACTTAATCCTAGAACTTATACTGAAGGCTCAAGAATTCATCACCTTTTGAAACACATTTTTTCTCGTCTATTTACGTGCCACGTTTCTTAGGGTCTCGTGGCTTTATTGGTTACAGGGTTACTAATAACACAAGGGACACACACACAAATATGGCAATTAATTTCACTAATTGTTGCTCGAATTTCTTATGTACTTTTTCTTTAAAAATGAAAGACTTCGCCCAATTATTTATAGCAAATGCTAAATAATGATTACTAAGTATGATGCAGTATGTAAAGATGTTGTCCTAGTTTGAGGATTAATAAGGTTAAGAATTTACGTAACCTCTTTAAAATTCCTTCATTTACCACCACCCCCCACTCCCACCACCACAACGGTATTTCTGCCGACTTACAACGCTAGAAACCTGGTTTCGATACCCGTGGTGGGCAGAGCACAGTTGGCCCATTGTGAAGCTTTTTGCTTAACTTCAAACAATCAAACATAACATTTTCAGACCTTAAATTAATCAACTTATATAAAATGTTAAACTGTTAGTAAATAAAATTCCATTTAACTGGCTTTATATTTTATGTTTGTCTTTACTTGTTAGGTCTCGATGAAATTTGTTTCGCTGTAACGTTGACAACTTAATTATTTTTCCTTTAGACCGATCTTGTTTTATCTATTTTTGTAACTTCATTGTACGTGTGGTTTAACCATTTTCAAGTCTGTCTCAGTAGCTTAAAAGGAAATTTGAGGAGTATCTTACCGTGGAACTAAACGCAGATTCAGCAGAGCTGAAGAGGGTGTTTTTCACTTGGCCTCTAAAGTACAGTTGTCGCCTTTTGTCCAAGAATTTGACAACTACAAACTCCATTAAAGTAGCGAACACGAACAGCATGCATGTGGCCATCCAAATATCGGTCCCCTTCGAAAATTATGAAAAACCAAGATTAGTTTACTCTAACGGTTCCTTTCGAAAATTATGAAAACCAAGATTAATTTACTCTAACGGTTCCCTTCGAAAATTATGAAAACCAAGATTAATTTACTCTAACGGTTCCCTTCGAAAATTATGAAAAACCAAGATTAGTTTACTCTAACGGTTCCTTTCGAAAATTATGAAACCAAGATTAATTTACTCTAACGGTTCCCTTCGAAAATCATTAAAAGCAAGGTTAATTTACTCTAACGGTTCCCTTCGAAAATCATTAAAAGCAAGGTTAATTTACTCTAACGGTTCCTTTCGAAAATTATGAAACTTGATTAATTTTCCCTATCTATTTCCTTTAGATATTATAAAAACCAACGATATTTTGCACTACCAATTCCCTTAAAAAATTATGAAAGCCAAGGTTAACTGAAAGCCTAGGTTAACTGAAAGCCAAGGTTAACTGAAAACAAAGGTTAACTTGCTTTAAGAAAAAACACACAGTTTCCGTGCAAGGAAAAAACTGACGGTATGATTTACAAACCCTTAACTAACGCTAACGTTTAATTATCATCTGACGGTAGAATTTACAAACCCTTAACTAACGCTAACGTTTTATTATCATCTGACGGTAGGATATACAAACCCTTAACTGATACTAACGTTTAATTATCATCTGACGGTAGGATATACAAACCCTTAACTAACGCTAACGTTTTATTATCATCTGACGGTAGGATATACAAACCCTTGACTAACGCTAACGTTTAATTATCATTCTATAATATTAGGCAAGGGGCTAGAAAGCATGCATAATACCTGCATGTTTACGTTATTTCCTGCCATCTGGTGGCAATATTATATGGGGACCTGGGCTGTAGACCTAAGCCAACTAACTGCAAACTTAATTTTTCAAAAACTAGAAATATTATCTTGACGAATTCTTGTCAGTAATTACTATTGATCTTCAGAAAGTTAGATCATTTTTATACGACATCACGGTAGTGTGTCGTGCGGCCAAAACAACCTACAGGACAGAAACACTGTTTTATCAACAGGAGTGATACTTTAGCGATATTCCACCTTCTGTAGCTCGGACTGTGGTAATCCAAACTATCACATATTTT